TTCTGACTGGAGGGGGACTTTTAGTAAAATACAGGTACCTCAACAATGTACTCAAGTGCAGTACTATAACTTCTTAGTTATATTTCACCACTGGTTCAGAGGGACTCAGCACTACAAAAGAACACATAACAAACAGGCTGACACATGACTAAAAGCCAGCAGAAATGAAAAAGGAGAGTAGTGACAGCTGAACTAAAAGAGTGGGTGAACAGACTGTCATGGTTGTAAAAGTCTTGGCTGGGGTTTCCCCAGACCTATCAAAGCATTAAATTATCTTTACCCCCACTGAATACAAGTACAAGGGAACTTATCTGATAATGGTACAAATTTGTGTTTGTAAAACAACGCCCCATTTGTTATCTCTGACTGCCTGTGACTCATGGTCTTGTAGGTTTTAAGGTGAGTGTCTCCAACAGCAAGTTTCTGCAGATTTAACTGAAACTTGCCCTGACCAGCTGTGGATCCTGCAACAAGAGGGTTATATAACCGCAGCACTGTTGACAAAGAAGATGTGTTTCTCACAGGTTAAAGATTTCTGGGTTTCACACAGAACAGTCATTAGTGGGAAGAAAAAGGGACAGCACAACTCTGCTTCACCACATTTTTTCCTCTCAGCTACAGACTTTACAGAACACATCAGGGAAGACAGCAGATTGGATGTTCACTCTTCCCTTTACTTGGAATGCTCTGAGTACAGTGCAAATGAATGTAGTTTGAATGATGGTGGGGTTCCAAACTGCTGATAATGTACAGTATAGTGTAAAGCCAGAGGAATGCTGCCAGGGAACAAAGCTCTTACTGTGTGGCAGAGAAATATCTCTATCTGCCCCTCTGTGGTTTGGAAATATTCTCTTCCATAAAGCCTGTGCAGTGTAACAGAATGGAATGATGCACTACAAATGAGCACACATTATGTACTGTACTGTAAATGCACGCACTCAAATACTTTTGGGCATGCTCTCTGCTGTACAAAAATCTCTGCTTGTGTTCTCTACACACACACACAGAGCGTCCTGTTAAGCAGATCTTTTATGCAGCTGAAATGTCATACAGTTTAAGCCGTAGGGGTCGCGTGGCTGGGGGGTTGGGGTGAGGGGTCAGAAGTCAGCAGAGTCAGATGAAGCAGCTGATTGTACAGTGAGACAGTAGTCCTCAACATTAGGAATAAGTGAGTGGGCGGCAGAGGGGCAGAAAGGTCAGAGACCAGATGAACCAGATCACTTTGTTTCTCACACACACACACAC